AATGCTATTATTCTCTGACCAACCTCTTTGTCCATCCACCAGTCTTGAATTAGAAACGAGGTGTCATTTAAGTGTCATCTTTGAAGCCTTTTTATTAAAACAAAGCAAGGGTATCGAAAGGTTCTCAAATGCCAAAAAACCTGTTCGCTTGCTATGCACTACTTTTGATGGTCATAAACTCCAAACGCATTTTGGAGGCTAGAAATGAGGATTACAGAAGACTTGAGTGACTTAAGACTGCGGTCAAGCTGACCACTGGGCCAAATCTCTGATAAAATCTTATCAAAGAGGAGTGAAGGGTAAATGAGTGCGCTACATATTCATTTTCATTATTACAATTTCCCAAGTAAAGATCTGATGTCAAATAATGACAAACTGAAAGATGTCAGTCCAAAGGCTGAACTTGATAGCCTAAAATTTAACCCGACAATTTTTAATGGAAAACAATTTAATGAATTTGACTTACCATGTCGAGAAGAATTTCCACCTTGATTTTAAGGAGGTTGTTCTCTTCGTAGAGTTTACGATTCTCGTTTTTCAACAGACCCGTCTCCTTCCCAGCAGACTCGTCTCCGCCGTCACCGCGACCGTCCTCTAGAACATGTTGATTTCACATTCCAATAACTCACTTAAAAAAAGGCACTCAGGAAGGGAGGCAAGTAGTGGCTATTCACAAAGGAGGCCTTTAAAACACGGTGCTGGACCTGGAGTCTTGAGGCTCGGAAGTAAGGCATTATGGACAAGTGCAGGAGATATTTTCAATCCCAATCCAACCAAGGTAATGCACCAATGAAGGGTGGAAGCTCGCCTGCACAAACGATAATTTTCTAGCTTCACCCATTGATAGTAGACAACAATAGCAAATAAATACTTTCAAGAGTGTGGATATTATCGTGCTACTGTAAATGGAAAAGTAGAATGAACTGATTACTAAGAAGGAAAACGTAGCTTCGGTTGTGGAGTTAATGAGGCGGTTACAACCAACAGCATTAAAAGAAGAGTTTCTAT